TGTCGGCGCTTTAAATGACGCAGCGAGGTTCTGGTGTCATGTGTTTCACTCAGACGGATCACAGACCGATTGCTACATAGATGTCCACGTATTAGGTATTATGGTTTATTATAGAGAGTTTCAAATGTGAATATCATAATCAGACAACTGTTAAATTTTCGCTGTTTCTAGCATCGCCAATCAATATGAACATCATGTTTGAACTTAAACAAGAGCGTCGATCTTAGTATAGATGCCTGCACATTTACAATCAAAGATTAACATTATTTATCTCATCTTTGTTCACGTACATTAGGTGCGACTCCATTACTTGGTCCTCTCAGGGCGTCAGAAGCATCATTCTACCTGCTGAAGGGAACGAGGCAGATCATTCCTTGTACAACTTGGAAACCTGGCAATGTAACATGTTTGGTGCAATGGTTTAAAGTTGATATCTCTAGCCACCATATCCTCATCAATTACACGGTGCCCACCAGTACTGTTCATGCTGATCCATCGTTTGACCTTGCTCTTGACTTCGGTCTGGTAATCAAGTCTGTTGATGAGGATGACGGTGGGAACTACAGCTGCTCTGCAAACCCTGAAGCCAACGAAGGACTTGTCGAAGTCCGTGTAATTGGTAAGTGTTCAGTCTTTTCTGTCATTGGGTGGGATCATTTTTGTTCTGCACGCTCATTTGACTTTAGTGTAACATTGTTTATATCTCGGACAATTCTGATTGTAGGTTTGACTTTTTTCCTTTTCATGTAATTGTCATGTATACGACGTTGGTCGCGGTAAGCAAACTACTTGTTTTTAAACACTGGGCTGTGACTTGTTGTTATTGTTGTATTACACAGGGGATATGTTTCCGTTGGATGGAGGAAGCGCAACTAAAGGAGACGTCATAGCATTTGAATCTGATAGCAAATTCACACTGCACTGTCCAGCCATTGAAGGTGTACCTATAGGTAGCAGAGTCACATTGATTTGGTCATTTGGTGTTGTTGATGCACAACTGACCACTGTGGTTGGCAAACTAGATCTACCGGCTGGCTTCAAATGGCTGTCTGACATAGACGGCCACAAGTGCTTCGGCTTAACACTTGAAGGTTCTCTCCTTCTAACAAACTGCTCTCAAAATAATGCTGTCAGATTCTGGTGTCATGTGTTTTCCCATGGTGAAGCGTTACGAAGGTCCTACGTGGATGTGATCGTGAGAGGTAAGATTCCCTGAGTAATTTGTGGTCATTCCAACTAAATTTTGTACGAAAAACCTGTCTACTTGGTCCATGAAGTGATCAATGCATTTACGCAAAGTATCTAAATAAAATGAGAGATGTATCCGATAATCGGGGGAGGACGTACTATTTTGATGTTAGTGGCGCCATTTACACCCCTCTGATACTATTCAAAAATAGTCCAACGATTTGACTTTGGTGATGTGGCCTAACAAAAGAAATGTACCCCCTAAAAATGTCTTCGGGGTGGAAGGGGGGTGGGGGGCTCAAGCTGAACAAACACTCTCTCAAAAGGTTTTTCTGAGGATGATACAATGTAAATTTAACTACCGCTGTATTCATATCTCGTTGACTTTTACAGATGCCATCAACCCGTCTAACATTGGTATCATAGCTGCACTTGTCTGTTTTTCTGTACTTGTTCTCGTGTGTATCATTGCGTGTTTGATGTGGAAGCTACGCAAACGGAATGCACCTCACGTTTTGGAACAAGTTGTCTACCACCCAATTCCTAAAACAGGTTAGTGGCGTTAAAACACGCGACTATTTTTTCGTGGCTGTAATCATGCAATATTGATGTTTCCTTGATTGTACGCCATTGATGGTGACGCCATTCTGAATATTATCATAGTTCCTATCACCGAAATTAAACTACACAAGTAATGCAGGTCTCTTAATTTTAAAGTTTTTCCGGGCATTGCTATACACGCAGTGTAGATATGTGTGTACGCCAAACGAGAGTATACATTTGGAAGTTAAACATACTTGCTGAAGTTTACTTCGTCCCATTCTTGTCACTGAATGTCAAAATTGTATTCTTTGTTTCTTAACAGAACCTGCCAGAAAATTTAGCGGGTCGGCGATCGCTACGATGGTCCGGGAGTTTCTGTCAGAGAAAATGAACAGACTGCCCATCACGCCTTGGGTGACAGGTGATGACAGCTACGCAGCGATGGATGATGTATACACACCACTGGAAATGCACCTCAATGTATCTATTGCAGGTTGTAAAGCTAGATATAGAATAGAGTCAGAGTCTGAACTCTTTGATGACGGTATTTCTGAATTGTCTAGTTGTCATGTACTCCTTGAAGGTAGATCAGGTTGTGGTAAAACTGCCTTCTTAAGCAAAATGGCATCTGATTGGTCACTGGAAAAGCCGCACGCAGTACTCGGTCAGAAAAAGATGGTCTTTGTTCTGCCGGCAAAAACTCTCATAAAAGTTAGGAATGTTGGACAAGCAGTTGTTCAATACATGCTTAAAGAAGGCACGAAGCATTGGGCAAATTCGATCAATGAATACAGTTCAAAGCACCCCGACGAAGTGGCCATTCTTGTTGACGGCTGCAATGACACACACGACATAGATAACGTCATGAAGATCGTGACGGAACAAGGTCTTTTGGGGTGTCAAATAGTGGTAGGTGCAAGACACACAAGGTTTGCGGAAGAAACTAGCAAACATCATAAACTGCGCCACATAACCATTACTGGTTTTACCCAAGAAAGTGCAAAGGCGTACGTTGAAAGCCAATGTGATGCATTCAGTCGCAATTGTACCAAAAATCAGACTCAAACTAGTGGAAGTCATGACGAAACACAAGAACACAAGGAACAAGACGATACAGAGTTACAAAGACGTTGTGACAAATCCGACAACAGCTGTGAAAATCAAAATCGAATATTGCATTCAATCTTTCTCAGCTACCTAGATGCAAACATTCTACACCCAAATGTGGCTTGTCTTCCCGTTATCATAACGACTCTTTGTCAGTTATCTCTTTGGACTGATTGGATGGCTTTCCAAGGTGATCCTACTGTGGCGAAACCGGGGCGCTAGCGGAACCCAGGGGACTGATCTTGTTTATCCCAGGACTCCAACCCACACCTATTATCCCACAAAAATATTTATTAGCCTAACGAACGGGTGAGCGGCTACCCAAACGAAAGGGGGGACAATTAACGAACGGTGGACTAAGCCTAGGGGCTGTTCGTTTGGTGGAAATATACCACCGTTTTGTGACTGAGTAATTAATTGAATGGAACTAGAGCAACACAGGTAGCGACAGTAGGCCTCAAGGTGAATCAGGTAACCCTCACGGCAGACCTAGGTAACCCTCAGCGAACCTGGTAACCCTCACGATGAACCTGAGTAACACTCGCAGTGATCCTGGTAACCCTCACGATGATACTGAGTAACCCTCACAGAGACAAGTGATTCCAAAGACGATTATAGATGAGATTTATTCAAGAATCTTAATCACCAATGGATTTGTTCAATAATCACTACAATAATTTACAATAATATACAATGAACGAGGTGGTAAATATTATGGACGGAAATATCTCAATAACCCTCACTCGTTACCTCCAGGGTCAACTGCACCCTTTTGAAGTAACTTAGTCTAATGTAATCCTTACGTGGTCAACTGCACCACTTAACAATATAAACAGGAAGATGAACTTTATGCGGTCAACTGCACCGTGTGTATTAACTAATACAATTATAATGAAGTAGCACTAATAACCCTCACACAGGTTGAACTGTCCCTATAACTCACACAATAAAGGTAACCCTCAACCTGACTCAGCGTCGAAGCAGGTTGAACTGTGTAATTGCAATAACCCTCACCCAGGAAAGGTGAGCCTCAACACGATTACACAATATAATCTTTATGTGCAATAACCCACACACACAAAACCGGTAACCCTCACAAGTGCTCAGAACGCGGCACAGAGTAACTCGTCAGGCAAGCTATTACGGCAATGATCGCCTCAGTCATAAAACCCCACCGAATGGTGTCCAACCCACGACAAGCAATCGCAGCCCCACTAGCCTCTCAACCAAGTTCCACAACTCCTAGCCACTTATGTTCTAGCACTAATTACCCAGACAAAATAGTCAGTCTTAATTCCCGACTAAATCTTTGTCACCAATTCTCCAAGATAATAGACAGTTAATTGAGTCAATAACAAAACCTGAGAGACTCCACCAACTCACCGGTCGCACCAAGGATGTCGATCGGACGTTGTCCCTAAATCTGAATAACCCTCAGGATTTAGCACGAAATCGCAGGAATGAGTCACAATGAGGTCTCCAGTTACAGCACCGTCGCCATCTTGGAACGAAGAGGCTTGGCGGTGTCAAACACCGCTTTATAAGCGCCCCGATTTGGGCAATGCGCGCTGGTGATTGGCTTACGCGCGTTCATGCATTATTGATGCTCAAATCACGCCATATATTTCATTGCGGATTGGTCTACGCGCGCCATTAATATTAATGACCTATGCGCGCATACATAATTCATAGATTAGACTAGTCTGTAGGCACCCTGTTTCGCCACACAGGCCCCAGCAAAGCTTAATCCGTCCCGGATTAAATAGCTTAATACAATTATAAGAAACAGGGCCCATATATTTTATACAATTATAATATAACTAAATTCCACGTGTGAGGTTTACCCACACGACAAGTGCCGTGTGAGACCGACATCCTTAATACAATTATAACAATGAAGCGTCCATAATATACAAGTTAACCACCGCTTGAGGTTTACCTAACGTCAGAAGTGATTTATACCATAATAAAAGATGTACACATTTGAGGTAGTTTACTAACTTACAATAATCAATGTCTTTGGAAATATACATGTTTTATTTTAACAAGCCATACGGTTGTATGGTGGTCCGCAACACTTTATAAAAAATCTCTATAAAAATAGACAAAGCGAAATCCCTTAAGCACAAAAAATATATAACACTTTGGAAAACATGGTGAGCTAATAAGTAGAATCATGCATAATTAAGCAAAATCACACAAAAAGTACACAAATTTCAGAGTCATTAATGTTCATTAAACTTCTTGTACTCCCGTTGTCCTACTTTGGTACTTCGTAGATATTGGCGTCCACCGCCTTCTTGTATTTGTGATGAGACACCTCCTCGTGTACCAGTTTCCCATCTAGGTAGGTGTTGCGGAATATGCGTTCCTCAACAATGGCCTGCCGCATCCTCTTCACCGGTGGCTCGTCGACGGCTTCCTCCAGCTCAGATCCAGCCTGTGTGATTGGGCTGAGAGGAGGCATAGATTCAGGGGTTCTGGACGTCTCTGCACCTCGTGCCTCCAACAGTTGGCTCAGGTACGCCTTGGGCTTTCCGGTGAGACGGATGATGGGTGATGATGTGCGCCCTACCAAGGGTGATATGGGACAGGGCGAGAGCGAAATAACCGCCTCTCTAGACGGACTCCTCGGCGGCCGACTCGCCGTAGCTGGGGCCGGGGCCTCTGCTTGCGGCCCGTGCCCCCACTTCCCAGGAAGCAGCTTTCTGTTGATGGAAACCGGCATCTTGATGCCTCCTTGGCGTCCCTCCATGATTCCGACTTTCTTGAATTCGGGATGGCTAACCACGCTCTGTGGATGACAGATGCGGACGTGTCGGGTTAAGTTGTCCCTTCGCTTGTCCCGGTACTCGCAATGCTCGCAGCACAGATACACAGGGGGGCCGTGCACCAGCTTGCGATGCCTCCAGAGGCCTTGCTTCGTGTTGAATGTACGCTCACACAGGAAACACTGCAAAGTCATCCTCAACCTGCCAACAAAAAAACAGACAAAATGTTTGGTTAGTATCGCTCTCTGCTTGAGGTGACTAACCTATCTATACCTAACTGGAAGTCGATGTTCCCTACGGGGGTACCTTGGGGTCCTCCCAGGGCTACTTGTCACTTCCCCTTCCCCATTACTTATTTGGTCAACAGTTAGATCCTCAAGAGGTTCTTCACTTAGATCAGGCTCTACACTCAGCTGTTGCTCATGACTGAGCGTAGCCTCCGGAACCTCGGACACAGGTTCCTCAACAACAGCCACTTCGTGGCTAACTTCAGTGCAATCAGAAGTTTCTTCTGGTGTCACCAGTTGTTCCTCAGCCATGTCAGGCTCATACTTCCACGGTTTTAGGTTCTCACCAGTGTATGGCTTGAGCCTATCCCCATGAACTACAAAAGCCTTACCACCAGGCTTTATCTGAATACGGTAGGTAACATCGGATAGTCTCTTAACCACCAAATATGGTCCTACCCATCGCAGTTCGAGTTTCTGAGACCTCCCCTTCTTCTTGGCTTTGTTGTACAGCCAGGCGAACTGGCCTTGCTGCAGGCCTTCGCCATGTACCCGGCGATCGTAGTTTCGCTTCTGGTTTCTAGCACTCTGCCTCAGGCACTCCCTGGCTCTGCCATGTGCCTCTTGCAGATTCTGCCGTAACCTCTGAGCGAAATCCGTCGCCGTTGTGTCCTCTATTGTAGGACCTTCTACCAACAAATCTACTGGAAGCCTCGTCTCTCTCCCAAGCATCATCATGTTTGGAGACTCGCCAGTTGACTCTTGGGGAGTGCACCGGTAGGCAAAACTTGCATACGGGAGGCACTCGTCCCAGTCACGCTGTCTCCTCCTCGGTTCGATCATAACCGCAACCATGTTGACCAATGTCTTGTTGAAGCGTTCAACCATTCCATCGGACTTTGGGTTGTACGCCGTGGTCCTCGTCTTGGAAATTCCAAGGACCTTGCACATTTCCCCAAATACGGCCGATTCAAAGTTTGTCCCCTGATCGGAATGCAATTCCAAGGGAATGCCAAACCGACAGACAAAATCACTGACAAACTTGTTAGCCACCGTCTCTGCCTTAGCATCAGGCAGAGCGTACGCCTCCATCCATTTGGAGCAGTAGTCACCGACTACCATGACCCAGACGTTGCCACTATCGCTCCGGGGCAGTGGCCCCAGCAAGTCCACGGCCACTCTCTCCATGGGCTCGCCCACCAAATACTGTTGGAGTGGAGAAACTCTCCTTTTCACAGGAGATTTCCTCCTCCCACACAGCTCACAACGTCTGATGAATGACCTCACATCCGCTGTCATTCCCGGCCAATAGTATCGAAACTTCACCTTGGCCAAAGTCTTCTTGACACCTAGGTGACCGCTAGTCCGACCACCATGTAACTCCTGAAGTACAACCTCTCTAAATTGCTCAGGAAGTACTAGTCGCCACCTAAACAACTTCCCGTCGTCGGATTCCCAGTTCCTATAAAGGACACTGTCCCGCACCTCCAACTGATCCCACTGGGACCAGAGTGTCTTGTGCGCCGAGGACGCGGCCGATACAGTCTCCCAACTGGGACGACTGCCCGACTCCTCTTTTGCCCGAACAATCCACCCAATACTAGGATCACCAAGTTGTGCTTCTCTGACTGCATTCCTAGGCAAGTGTGGTTGGGCAAAGATGCCCCTCACACTCGCCTCAGGAATCGGCAAGTCAGAGTCAACCTCATGGTAACCCTCACTGGTCTTGGTCACTTTGGCATCATCCGATGCCCCGACGGTCGCTGTCGCTTCATCAACGTCGGCACGACCGCACTGCTTGCAGGTCTTCCGGGACAACCCGTCAGCATTTCCATGCTTACGCCCAGGCCTGTGTTGAATTGTCACATCATACTCGCTGATCACCTCGAGCCACCTCGCAAGCTGACCCTCGGGGTCCTTAAAATTAAGGAGCCACCGGAGAGCAGCGTGATCGGTTCGAAGCAGAACCTTCTGACCATACAAGTACTGTCTAAACTTCTTGAGGTAGACAACTACCGCCAACAGTTCCCGCCGTGTAACACAATAGTTCCTCTCTGCCTTGCTGAGTTTACGACTCGCAAAGGCGAGGACCTTCTCCTGCCCCTCATGGACCTGAGACAAAACTGCCCCTATTCCATCTCCACTAGCATCTGTATCTACGATGTAGTCACTATCTGGAACAGGATATGCCAAAACGGGTGCAGTCTGCAGCCTCTGTTTCAACTCTTCAAATGCCTGCTGGCAGACATCTGTCCAGCGAAACTCTCGCGACTTTTCAGTCAGCGCATGCAGAGGCGAAGCAACCTCGGCAAATCCCCTGATAAACTTCCGATAATAGGAAGCGAGGCCTAAAAAGCTTCGAACTTCCTTGACACACTTAGGTGTTGGCCATTCCGCCACGGCCCGAACCTTTTCAGGATCGGTAGCCACACCTTCCGCCGACACAACATGTCCCAAATAGCCCACTGATCGCTGAAACAAAAAGCACTTACTAGGCTTCAGCTTCAACCCAGCTTGCCTCAACCTGGAAAAAACAACCCGCAGACGCTCAATCTCTTCTCTCACAGTCTTGCCAAACACGATGATATCATCTAGGTATATCAGCAGGATGTCCCACTGAAGACCTGCCATCACCTTCTCCATCAACCTTTCAAACGTCGCAGGGGCGTTGCAAAGCCCGAAAGGCATGCAGCGCCACCTGTATAAACCGTTCCTCACCACAAAGGTTGACTTCTGGCTGGCGTCCTCATCGAGGGCAACCTGCCAATATCCGGATGCCAAGTCCAGAGTGGAAAACCACTCTGCACTCGCCAACGCATCTAGCGTCTCGTCGATACGAGGAACAGGGTAAGCATCTTTAATTGTTACCCTATTCAGACCTCTGTAGTCGACACAAAATCGTTTAGTCCCGTCCTTCTTCCGGACTAACACAACATTCGCAGCCCAGGGACTATCAGATGGTTCAATAACCCCTCGCTGCTGCAAATCTCCAACTTGCCTCATTATTTCCTCCTGATTACACAGGGGATGGCGCCGGGGCCTCTCCTTGATTGGCCTCGCATCGCCAGTACTGATGTGGTGCTTAACCACATCAGTCCGCCCTATGTCACCCTCACCAGAAGAAAATACATCATGAAATTCAATCAAACAAGCCTTCACCTCCTCGTGATGCTCCCCACTGAGGTTGACTTTGCTCCGGTCGTACAAATCGTGCAGGTGAGACGGCATGTCACCATAGACCTCACACCCACGATCCTCACCCGGAACTACTATCGAATCGACTTCAACTGTTGCAATAGTGCCCACAGTTGTTCCCCGCCGAACAACTCGACTCTCCTCATTCGGATTGAATATCCGCAGAGCGAGAGACTCGGGTTGTGACTGAACCAGCGACCGGGCTAGAATTAGCCCTCGCTGAGCCAACTCGCCCCCACCTTCCACAGGCTCAATGATTGCCGGCTGTCCCAATGCCTCAGCGATACTGCTAACAGTACCAGGCACAACAGCCTCATGGCCCGCCAGAATCTCTGTGGTTTCGGCCACCATCACCCTGCCAACGAACGGTTCTCCGGCACCACTTGTGCATTTTACCCGGTCCCCGTTTAACCTCAACTCAAGGCGTTGGAAATCTAAGTTACCTCCAGTGGGTAACAAGAAATCCATGCCCAATATGCCGTCATACTTGACATGAGCGAAAATAACACGCACTGGGTAAGCAGTTTTACCCAACTGTATGTCCACCCAGGCAGCGCCCATTACAGCCAGAGGACTCCCATCAACTTGTTGAATGCTGGACTCTTCCGCTTCCAGCACAGGCCTCTGTTCCTTGGCAATTCTATGGTAGACACGACTACTAATTAGTGTGTCGGTCGACCCCGAATCAACCAGGAACCTACACTTTGCTCCCCTCACAACACCATTAACAAACAGCCCATACCTAGGCCGAGTACCACTGCTTGGCCGAGTGCCTACTGGCTCTCTGCCTTCTGGTCCTCGCCTACCGGCGGCTTTGTTTGTCCCCGACTCTTGTCCTCTCTTGGGCCCTCGGAAATGCCCAGCCTGCCCGCGGGCCCACCGGTCGGCTGGCTGGCGTTTCCCTGTGCCCATTTCTCCTTACGAGGTTTGGTACATTCCCGTCTGAAATGACCGACCTCACCACACTTGAAACATTTCAACCCACCAGGCGTTTTCCTTTCAGGCTTTGGTGAATGCCTCTGAGGAAAACTCGCCTTGTTGCCCTGGGCTAGACCTTGCTGGGTTAGCCCTGTCAGGAGCTCAACCACTTGGTCTATTTTCTTTGTCTGTTGACCGGCATTTTCTTCTAACTTTAGAAGACGCCTCTCTGTGTCAGAGTCGACTGCCCTAGTAAACTTCACAGGTTTAACTTCGGCCCTTCTCTCACACTCAACCTTCTCAAAATTCTCGGTCTCAAGGGCAGCACGTATAGCTTCGTCCAATGTCTTTGGGCGATCGCGATAAACGCCTTCCCTAACGACCTGACTAGTCACGGCATCAACGAAATGATTCTTCCCCAGGCGCTCCCGTGCCTCTTCGGGGATCTCAGGGTAGGCCTTCAACGTTAAATCTCGGATTGCCTGGCCCAACTCCTGAAGTGTTTCTTTAGGCCCCTGGCGTCGGTGCCTTAACTCCACCAAATAATTTTCGGCCTGTCGTCCAGGACCGAATCTCTTTGACAACACCTTTACAAGTTCACTATAAGTGAACTTCTTCGAGCCATCACCGAGAATACGAAGTGCTTCACCCTGGAGACAAGCGGCCAAGAATTCGGTCGCTTGCTCCTCACTCCACTGATTCACCTGCTTACACGCCTCAAAGTGGCGGTAATAATCGTTCCACAGAACCTTACCATTATATCGGTCGGGGGTAATTGTAGGCTTGCGAGGCCTACCACCGTGAGGTTTACCGCCCACCTCATCACCCACCAACCGTGACTCCCTTTTAAGAGGCCATGGGCCTACTCCAGGTGAGTCAACCTCATCGACAACCTTGTTGGATTTCCCCACAGCGGGACTAGTTGCAAAACTCAGCAACTCACTGTGTAAAGCTCGCTCCTTTTTAGCACAATCTTCCTTACGGTTCAAGAAGGGATTGGTGCAAGGACCTCGCGTGGGAATAGACCTCAAAGGTGTACTCTCCGCGTGCCTTGCGTCCCTTGGAACCAACTTGGGTGACATGCCAACACTGGAACGATCGCGTGCCACTGAGGCATACCCCGAGGTATCCTCCGGCAACTTCCAACTAATCTCAGAATCAACCTCAACCAGAGGCGTAGCCCGACTCTTAGGGGTAACCTCACTCACAATCTTTGGCTGTGCCCCCTTTCTGACAGCCTCTAACTCCGAAGAGAGACGAGCCCTCTCCCACTTCAGCCACTGAACCTCCATTCTTGAGCGGTTAAGCTCATCATGGACAGAGCCTTTGTCCCCCTCAACCGAGGTGACACCACCGCCCTTACTCATACTGACGTTTCCTCTTGACTAGGAAACTCAGTCTCCACCAGACTCACTACACTTGGCCACTGACCACTCGGCGATAACGGTACCTCACCAGTAAATTCAGGCTGCGGGACTACTTGTCCAGGGCCTCCCAAATTTACCAAAACCTGCGTACCGACTACCACCTGGTGGATTCTTAACAGGATTGGCAGTTGCTGTCTCGCAGTATTTCGCAAAGATCGCAACTCCGCTCGAATCCCCAACAGAATCCGCACATCAACCAACAATACAACAAACAAAACAATACCCAAAGCAGTAACGACCCAGGTTAACATAACCCGCTAACCTCGTCACCAATAATCCTCACAGTGAACCTCAATGAGGTCCACTCATTAACCAAAAAAATCAACTACTCTTTATTTCTCTTTATTACAAGTTCACAACTTACAACAATTGAATTTATACAATCACAAAAGATCCCACTTCTGACACCATTTGTGGCGAAACCGGGGCGCTAGCGGAACCCAGGGGACTGATCTTGTTTATCCCAGGACTCCAACCCACACCTATTATCCCACAAAAATATTTATTAGCCTAACGAACGGGTGAGCGGCTACCCAAACGAAAGGGGGGACAATTAACGAACGGTGGACTAAGCCTAGGGGCTGTTCGTTTGGTGGAAATATACCACCGTTTTGTGACTGAGTAATTAATTGAATGGAACTAGAGCAACACAGGTAGCGACAGTAGGCCTCAAGGTGAATCAGGTAACCCTCACGGCAGACCTAGGTAACCCTCAGCGAACCTGGTAACCCTCACGATGAACCTGAGTAACACTCGCAGTGATCCTGGTAACCCTCACGATGATACTGAGTAACCCTCACAGAGACAAGTGATTACAAAGACGATTATAGATGAGATTTATTCAAGAATCTTAATCACCAATGGATTTGTTCAATAATCACTACAATAATTTACAATAATATACAATGAACGAGGTGGTAAATATTATGGACGGAAATATCTCAATAACCCTCACTCGTTACCTCCAGGGTCAACTGCACCCTTTTGAAGTAACTTAGTCTAATGTAATCCTTACGTGGTCAACTGCACCACTTAACAATATAAACAGGAAGATGAACTTTATGCGGTCAACTGCACCGTGTGTATTAACTAATACAATTATAATGAAGTAGCACTAATAACCCTCACACAGGTTGAACTGTCCCTATAACTCACACAATAAAGGTAACCCTCAACCTGACTCAGCGTCGAAGCAGGTTGAACTGTGTAATTGCAATAACCCTCACCCAGGAAAGGTGAGCCTCAACACGATTACACAATATAATCTTTATGTGCAATAACCCACACACACAAAACCGGTAACCCTCACAAGTGCTCAGAACGCGGCACAGAGTAACTCGTCAGGCAAGCTATTACGGCAATGATCGCCTCAGTCATAAAACCCCACCGAATGGTGTCCAACCCACGACAAGCAATCGCAGCCCCACTAGCCTCTCAACCAAGTTCCACAACTCCTAGCCACTTATGTTCTAGCACTAATTACCCAGACAAAATAGTCAGTCTTAAATCCCGACTAAATCTTTGTCACCAATTCTCCAAGATAATAGACAGTTAATTGAGTCAATAACAAAACCTGAGAGACTCCACCAACTCACCGGTCGCACCAAGGATGTCGATCGGACGTTGTCCCTAAATCTGAATAACCCTCAGGATTTAGCACGAAATCGCAGGAATGAGTCACAATGAGGTCTCCAGTTACAGCACCGTCGCCATCTTGGAACGAAGAGGCTTGGCGGTGTCAAACACCGCTTTATAAGCGCCCCGATTTGGGCAATGCGCGCTGGTGATTGGCTTACGCGCGTTCATGCATTATTGATGCTCAAATCACGCCATATATTTCATTGCGGATTGGTCTACGCGCGCCATTAATATTAATGACCTATGCGCGCATACATAATTCATAGATTAGACTAGTCTGTAGGCACCCTGTTTCGCCACACTACTATGGGTGACTTGTTTATCAGGTTGGTGAAATGTTTGTTTGTGAGAAGCAGTGATAGCGGCGATGATGATGATTCCAGATCACAGGAGGCTTTGAAAAAACATGTGGAGTTTGATGACGTAACAGGCCTATCAAAGGTACAGCTTGAAATATTGGAAAAGTTAGGAGAGGTAATTCTGCCGAAGATGTATGAAAATGAATGTCAAGCTACATTTTCCAAGGCACATTTCGTGAATTCGTGTGATAACGGTCAGGCAATCTTAGACGTGTCACTTGAAATTGGTCTTGTCCGTTGTGAAGGGGATACGGATGTTTACTTCGTCCTCGAAATACTTCGGGACTTCTGCGCTGGTCTTTCCTTGGCTCATACTGCTGAACAAAATGAAAACTGGATGGCTGAACTTCAGCACTTTGATTTGATGAGTGCAGCTAAATCGTTTTCAAATATATATGCGTTTGCGTGTAGGAAGAGTCAAACGGTTTGCAGTGGACTTGTGCAAAAGATAGCAGACTGCAAAGACAAAGAAACAACCAATGTCATTGGTATGCAAACAATGATCCAATTGTGTCTACTGCTGAATTTTGAAGGAAACTGCAAAGGTTTGTTGAATGCCAAGTTTGCCGGCCTGTTTGGGGGAGGGATAGTTCGTCTCGGAGGCGTTTCTGGTCACACAATCAGAATGCTGTCGTATTTGTTCGAACATGCAAACAAGTCGGCAGAAGGTGTTGCTTTGGAGGTTGAATCTGTTGAGTTGTTGCGACTAGATGAGAAAGGTGACTGGGAAGAGTTTCGGGAATACTTTGAGTACTTTTTACCTTTGAATCTGGAAGAGGACATACAGGAAACTGAAGAGATGCAAAGGTGTTCAGAAAATGGAACACTGACAAAGTTGCGTGAAAGAGTAGAATCCAGAAACAAAGACATGCCTCAGTTTTCTCCAGACCAGTCAGACATCAGTGTCCTTCGTACCGTGCAGTCGTTGGGGCTTTATGCGTTTCTGGAGTGTCAGGCAGGTGAACTGCACAAACAGGGGGCGAAGGAAACGTTTCCCGCAAGTAAGCCTGATCGAACGGCACAGTCTAAAACGCCGCCGCTGGGTATTCAAGGGTCGGGTTCTGGAATTCAAGGTTCTGTTTCCAAAACCAATTTCCGTTCTGGTGAATGTCACCAAACAAGCGCATCAGGCAAATTAGTTGGATGCCTGTCGTATCTACCGAAGCTTGAAAACCTCGTTCTTCTGGGAACAATTTTGAGTTCGAAAGATATTTGCAACTTGGTACGTAAACCTGAAAACGTTCCGAAGCTGAAAAAGCTTGATCTTCGTCTAAATAAGCAGTTTGATGACGATGCGTTTTCTGCAGTTGCAAAATCACTCGAGCCACGTTGCAGAAAAAACGTCAGTTTTTTGGCAGACCTCCGATTGTCTTTGTATAAAGTAACTCCTACAGGGTTTCGTAGCGTAAAAAAGGACACCGGCAGTGATGGAGCCGGCGCCTGGTTTCATAAAGAAACTCTCTGTCTACTGCATGGTGACATTCCAAAGGATTTCTGTGATTTCCTCAAACAAAGCGTGAAAAAGAAAATACCATTATCGGTTATAAAAGATAGCGAACTGTACACTGGGATACTATTTGGTAAAGGAATGCAAATGCTGAAGCCCCCTTTTTGTGGACTTCACAAAGATGAGCAATTCATTTATTGAAACATAATTAAAAAAAACATCAATGCCTTTCCCTAGGCAGATTTGCGATGATGATAAAAACATGGTAAAGGAAAAGAAAAAGGAAGTTTTTGCTGTCATTCTGTACAGTGTAGAGGCTAATACAAATTAAGTAAAAAAAATACATATTCTGTGATACACTTTTTTTCATAAATAAGTAGTTAAAGGCTTGATTTTATGAAAGACCAATTTGTTGGAAGAAAGTTTTTTTGGCAAAGTGTTTGTCACAAAGTGATATTTGGTTTTTAATCGAAATGACTCTTTAAACTGACAAACACTAATTTATTTGTAGGGGGCTACAATTTCTGAGTTCGGTTAAACTGAAGTGGTTTAGAGAAACACAATTTATTTTCCTTGGGGCCGCCACACCCAATTATTTCTAGAATCAGTTATTGAACCATCAAAGAATGGCGCAGTCAACTCCAGTAGAGTTGCCATTGGTTAGTGTATTGGTACTTTGCATAAATTTAAGTGTTGAATATTCATTTTGCCAAGTGAATGCATTTATTAAATTCTTGGGCCTCAGTATGTAGAATTGCTGAAATGTTTTTCTCGAGGTTTATAAGCAAAACGAGTTTGGAATGGGGCAGATTTTCAGATGAGATTCCGAGGAGAGGGCAGAGGCCAGCCTCGATGATTTTAAGAAATAATTTGTGAGAAATTTTGATACGGAGAAGCCAAAGGAGAGGGCTCAGCCAGCCTACGGCATTAGTATATTTTAAGCTTGAGCTAGTGAGAGCCAAGCCGCTGAAACCTTGGACAAGCTAGGAATCGCCCACATTCCTAGCTTTTGGGGGGTTGAGAATAGTGCAACCTTTGACCAGAAGACCAGAAGCGACAGGGCCGGACCGCAGCGGCGGACAAGTTACGGACCATCACAAGCGCTACTGATCCTACCCCAAGATCCCAAGATCAAGATACACCGGGACGGACGCATCGAGTATTTATAATTGTATTAATTTTTTGTGGCTGGCATCTTTGTCATGCTTCTCCTGTTCCCTGAGAAATATCCCATAAGGTGTATGGAACGAAATGAACTTATACTACTTGTTCAGTGTACAGAAGAAATAATAAGCTAGCCTTATACACTTAACACCATCCACTATGACAACATTTAGTATGTAGTTGAGCAGTTGATGTATGCTGCCAGTAGGGCGAACTATTCTCCGAAAAGCTTCTGCACAGTGTACACCTGATTGTAGCCGAACACCTGTAAATATACTGCAAAATAATGTTTTGAGTTTGTTTTACATTTCCTCGGCACTTCAGCTATCCTGTTTTTCACATATCTGGCATTCAACTCTTGCAGTCTCGAAAAAGCAAGGAACTATTTATAGATCCATGCAGTTCAGATAAACATATCTCTCGCCCCCACTGAGAGCTGTTCTCTCTTGCTAATGCCTTTTGGTTTGTCAACCATGACGGAGTAAATTTGTGGGGCGAACGCTTCTCTGAACTGCTCCTGTCCACGCTAATTGATGTCGAACAGCTGTAAATATGCCATAACAATGTTTCAATTTATTCAACATACACGGCACTTAAGCCATCTTTTTTGCACATATCTGGTATTCAACTCTTGTAGTCTTATGAATGCAAGGGACTCTTAATTGATGCAGTTCTGATAAACATATCTCACCACCACTTATTTTTTTTTTCTGTTGCTGATATCCTTTGATTTGTTAACCATGTTGGATAACTGTTTCGAGTTTGTCAACTCACGACTGATTTCTTCTTGAACCATCTCGGCCATCAATTCTATAATCTCATTGTGAATTATAGAATCAAGGTACTTCACTCTGTTGGGACCTTCCAAATGCTTTGTTATAAACCAGTGATGTAGTGCCTTGATGCTGGGCCTTGGCCTTAAGGCTGCCTTAAGGCTTGATTTTAGGGCCTTGGCCTTGGCCTCGAGGCTTGAGGGCAAAAGCCTTGGCCTTGGCCTTGGCCTTGAGGGTTCAGGGCCTTGCAATTTTGAGTCAAGGCTCTTCAAGGCCCATAGATTTTTGCATTTTCCAGATAAATCTGTTCGAAATTTTGCTGTTACCATTTTAATCGTATTACCATGGAGGAGGGAAGCACCCTATAGATTTGTGTGTTGGGCACAATTCAACTTTTGTAGCATCACATTTTGTTACCATTGTAGTAGATTTGCTACAAAAATATTCCGTACACTTGTGGGGCTAATGAGATGATCACTTTAATTGCATATAACTATGGAATAGATCTGATTGGTTGTATAATTATGTCTCCCTGATAAGTGCTAAAGATTTGCATGTATCTGTTTTAGATAATGCTGATATTTCTGACCATGTTGGGCCAGCAAATAAATATTTCCCAAATCAGTTTCTTGGATCCCCCTTTTGTTACACTTGGGAGAATTGTGTGTCAATATAGAAGTAAATCATTATTTTGTTTAGTTAAACCATATTGAAGACCTGAACTTATACTTTAATAGACACAGTGCAGTCATAAAACGGTATAGGCCTATGCGAGCATGTTGATTGCAATTAAAGAAATGTTGTTCTTCGTAACGAGCAATTCGTGATGATAAGGGCGGATCCAGGGGGGCCAAAAGGGGCCATGCCCCCCCCCCCAAAAAAAAAACGAAACCATTTTTTTTTTCATGTGACGTCGTAATAAAGGCAGGCAATGAGTACACCACCATCTTTTCCTCAAAAAAACATCGGTTAAAATGGTCAGAAATTGCCTCAAATCGCACCACAGAGCATCTCGAATCCAATTTTTTTTTTCGGGGCCCTTAAGCGGGCCCCGAAGCCCAAGCCGTAATTTTTTGACCCACTTTTTGGGGGGGACCAAAATTTCTTTGCCCCCTCCCCAAATTGTGTTCTGGATCCGCCCTTGCGTGATGATGTGTCACTCATGTGACTATAATTAGTTCTATATCAGTGGTCATTTCATAAAACAGGGCTTGGCCTTGGCCTTGGCCTTGAGGGTTAAGCCTTGGCCTTGGCCTCGAGGCTTGAGGGTCAAAGCCTTGGCCTTGGCCTTGGCCTTGAGAGTCAAAGCCTTGGCCTTGGCCTTGGCCTTGAGGGTCAAAGCCTTTGCTCCAACACTGTTATAAACTTGTTCTGTTCACCGAGTAGCACAAGAATTTCCACCAAGTTGCTAGCCCTTTGCAACTTTCTACTTGTTGCCTGTGTCCACGCTGCCCAATTGAGTTGCAGTTTCATTGAGACTTTGGCAATCTGCCTAAATGTAGTGTTTGTTTTCTGAAATTGCTTCTGCTGAGCAGACACGACAGCAACATAA